GGAGTAAGTTCACATGATTAATATGCTTTGAATGATATTTTAAAGTTTAGTTGTCAAAGATGGGAGATTGGATGTCCAGGAAGTGACATTTTTATTGAAAATAATGAAGTATATGAATTAGAGCTTGTCTATGTGCTCACATGCTTTATAAACCAAACCAAGCCTTAAGTCCTATCAAATGGGGTCAGCTACATGAATCTTTTTATGTGCTCACATGTTTTATAATATTCTAAAATGATTTTGTAAGTGAATGTCCACTTTCCATTTTCACTTCAATTGTTGTCCTTCCGCTTTCACTTTAATTATCATAGGCGTGTGGGCCTAGCATATTAGAATATATATTACTAAAAAATTATAGAAAAAATCAACAAAAGAGCTTAATTGAATTCCAAACCACACCTACTGTTCAAAAAAAAAAAAAAAAAAATGAAATTCCAAACCACACCTATTGGTATGGAGAAGAGAAGTTGCTAAACGACAGATACAGTGAGTGATATTTATTCATTTATGAGACTGAAAGTAGAGAAGTTCGACTAATGTCACCATCACAAAGGTATCAATATTTATTTATTTATTATTTATTATTTATTTTTGTGTGCGTAAAGAGTCGAATTAATAATTTTACTACAAAGTGTTGCACTACATTTATTTTTAAATTTTTTTTTTCTTATTTTTTTTTTCCAGTTCTCAATCTTTTTTGGACCAACAACAATTTGGCACGTAGCAAAGCTTCCAATGGAAAGTTTGGTGACCTTCCTCCCTCTTTTTCTCATTATTAAAGTAATCTCGAAAAATCATATAACATTAGTTATGTAATAATATGAACCAATGGTATAACATATAATTTTACCCTTAAAATATGATAATTTACCATCGTTAAGAAGTTTGGAAATAAGGAATAATCCGATTAATATAAGAAAAATTTACCTAGAAATTTCATCTTAAGGAATGGTAATCTGTTTAGTCCTAAGAATTTTCTTATAAACCAATTAGTCTTATTGATTTTGAAAAGGTAGATTTAATATATTATTTAAAAATTAGATTTATGATTATATCCTTATTTCTATTATGTTTCATTTTTTTTCTCTTTTGTGCTAGAATGGTAAGACACACAATTTACGGAAATCAAATTTTAGATGAATTTTTATATGAAAATCTTTTTTATTTGGAAAACATTTCAAAAGAAGCACAAAATTAACTTGAAATATGCGATTCTTCAAATATTTAAAAAAGATGTGAGATTCTTCAAATTTTTAAAAGGAGTACAAAAATTCCTTAGTAAATTTTGGGCAAATGTGTAATTTCAAACTGTAACATTCCAATGTGATACTCAAACGTAGCACTCCAATATAACATTCTAAAAAAATCCTTAACGTATTATTCCCAAACGTAACACTCTAATATAACATTAAAAAAAATTCTTTAAATGTAACACATAAAAAAAATCCCTTGGTGTATTTTTCTCAAACGTAACACTCTAATATAACACTTAAAAAAAAAAGATATGGGATTTTTCAAACAATTCCAAAAAGATTACTAAAATTCATAGTAAGTTTTGAACAAATGTATAATTTCAAATTATGAGTGTTACGTTTAAGAAAAGTACACCAAGTAGTTTTTTAGTATTTGTGTGTGTTACGTTGGAATGTTACGTTTGGAATTACATTGATTGAAGTGTTACGTTTGAGTACACTAGGAAGTTTTTTTTTGTGTTACATTGAAATGTTACGTTTGAGAAAAGTACACTAAGATGTTTTTTGTGTGTTACAATGGAATGTTACATTGAAAAAAGTACACTAAGGAGTTTTTTTAGAATGTTACGTTGTTAGGTTTGTGAAAAGTACATTAAATTTTTTTTTTTGTATTTTTGTGTGTTACATTGGAGTGTTACCTTTAGAATTATATTGGAGTCTTAAGTTTGGAAAAATACACTAAGAAATTTTTGTTTGCGTTACATTGGAGCGTTATGTTTGAGAAAAGTATACTTAGGTTGTAATTTTGGCCTGGCCTGGCCTGGCCCAGCCCATGTCGGGCCTTACGGGCTCCAGCCAAAAAATCGGGCCGACTCGTGGGCTAGAAAACTAAGCCCAGGCCCAAGCCCAAGCCCAGGGGCATTCGGGCTTTGGGTGGGCCAGTAGATCGGGCAATTGGGCTTGGTCCTGGGCTCGGACTTTGGGCGGGCTTGGGAGGGCCTATATAATTTTTAATTTTTAAAAAAAAATTCCACCCAAATTTTATTATTTTCCATTAAAAATAACACTAGGCCTCAGGTGGGCTAGGCTTTCGGACGGGCCTTGAGGCGGACCGATGGGCCGGGTCATAGGGGCGAGCCAAGCGGGGTGGGTCAGACTTCAAAACGATAGGCTAGGCCTAGGGCTGAGCTTGGGCTCGGGCTACCTTGGCTGCAGGCGGGCTTTTCAGACCGTCTGTGGGCCACAAGCCAAAATTACACTCCTAAGTATACTAATGTGTTTTTTTTGAGTACTGCATTGGAGTGTTATGTTATTAGAGTGTTACATTGTAGTGTTATGTTTTTGTTTGTAATGTCGAATTTATTTCTGAAGGAGGAAAAATCCAAAATCTTTATAGCGACCCCGGTCTTTTCCCATTTGATTATTGTATCCGGACTTAGGTTCCGTATATTCTGTCATTGTATAATTGTTATTGTCGTCCTTTATTTTCTCATTTGGAGTTATAGGATGTGTTGGGCAGGTTTGTTTCAGGTTGGTTGGGTTCGTAAACCAAGTGTTGCTGTCCAGTTTTTGGGTGTTCGCTCGAGCGAGGGTTGTATTTTGTGTCTTCTGGCTCGATCCAGCTTTGCTTCGCTCGAGCGAGCGACTGCGCCTGGTATAGACCCGAGGGCAGTGCTTATTCGCTCGAGCGAGATTTTCTTCGCTCGAGCGAGAGAGGTGTATGTTTTCGAGTTCCTTGCTCGAGCGAGCATTCTGTCGCTCGAGCGTGCTCCAGGGTTGCAGACCTGAAGCATTGCATTCTTGGCTCGAGCGAGTTCTTAAAGTACAAAATGAAACAAATGTAAACAACGAAATGGAAACGACACTAACGATTTTGCAAAGAATACAAACAGGAAATATGGTGTCCATGCATGGATGGACTATAAACCATGGGCGATCTGTTTGAGAAGGTCGTCGTTGTTGATGACTCTTTCGACGGAAGACATGGCGGCAATGAGGTATAGGGTGTGGGGACGAAGAAGAAGAACATGAAAACGAGGGTTCCATATATATAGAGCGAGAGAGAGCGAGAGATGATTGAAAACAAGGGTTACGATTCTCTTGTTGTTTTTGTTTTGTGGCAAATGGCAATGCTATCAATTTCAAGCAAACAGATCAGCTCTGATACATATATATTGGTGTTGGTGTGCTGTGCTGTGTTTTGCTTTATTGCTAAGAGACGTTGCCGCTATCTCTTCCCTCCCTCATACACCTCCGTTTTTTAAATGAAGATTCTTATTTGAAGAACAAAAATTAAATTTATTTTTTAAATTTAATGATGTAATAGTTTAATAAGATATTAAAGGTGACTTTTTTGGTTTTATATTTTCTTTAATTTTTAATTAATCATATTATTTACATATTATTGGAAATAATATTATTGGATTTAAAAATAAGTTTAAAAAGTAAACTTGTATATCATTTAAAAAAAAATTATATCTCATTACTTTTATAACTAAATAAATCTTTAATTTTTTAAAGAGAAATTTAGTCAAAACGCCTCTATTGGATCCTTATTTGGTGAAAAGGACGGCTTAATTTATTTTGCTCGATAAACCCCCTAGAGATGAAGCGTGTAATTGAGTAGAGATAAAATAAAATGTCTTTTTTTTCTTAGACAATATTATCAAAATAACATCTTAAAGTGAATCAGAGTAATCAGAGTAACATGTTACTATTTATATCAATTTTGACAGTAATAATAATTTTTAAATTTTTTTGTAGTCAATATAAATTTTATTTGATAAATCTTGATGAGAGGATTATAAAAATACTAATTTTATTAAAAATCGACATTTAGATTAAAAGTTATACTATTATTTTAAAGTTTAATATTTTGGTAAAAATAATTGTAAACTTCAATTAGTAACTTTCATCGAACATCATTAAACAACGTCGCTAATTGTTAATTTTTAGCGACAGTGTGAAAATTGTCACAAAAATGTCACTAATTGTAAGTTTTAGCGACAGTTTAAAAAAATCATCACAAAAAAAAATGTCATTAATATTTAACTTTCAATGAAATTTTAAAAAATTCGTCGCAAAGAAAGTCATTAATTATAAGTTTGAATGACAATTTTTTAAAAATCATGATAAAAAAAAAGTTACTAATTGTCAATTTTTAGAGACATGTAAAAAGTCGTCAAAAAAATTATTTTTAGCAACGATTTTATTAGGATCTATTTTTAATATAATTTGATAGGAATTAAGTCTAACTATTAGGACTTATTGATAATTTACCCTATGTAAAACAACTTTATTTCTTGTATGTTTTCTCTAGTTATCAGTCAATCACCTTTTTGAAATATTACTAAAGTCTAGAAGAGGGCTTAGAAAGTGGACTTACCATTTCATTTTTTATTTTAAAAAAAAATCGGGTTTGATTTTGATAACAAAATAAATTTTTAATTTTTAATTTTGTCGATTAAATCCTAATCAATCTAAATTATTGACCTATTTTTGTTAAGTAAAACTTATGAGAAAAAAAGATATTTTAATCATTAAAATTAATAAAAAGAGTATTTTAAACATTTTATATTACAATTTAATGATTAAAATATTTTTTCGGTCGATTTTACTTGACAAAAGAAGGTGAATGATTTATATTGAAAATAAATTAAAATATTAAAATTTAAATTAATGAAACTAAAAATTAAAAATTTGTTATGTTACCAGACTAAAATTTTGAGGATTTTATTTATTTATTTTTAAAATTATTAATAATTCTTCGTTTCCTCTTAGCTTTAACTTACACTTGAAGGGTAAACTTTTTGGCCTTTTGGTCTTTTACAAACCAAAAGCTGGGTCTCTGTTTCCTATTTTTTTCTCAGGCGAAGAACCTCCCTTCATCTGGTGAGCTTAGCATTGTCTTCTTGAGTTGAAAGACTTGAAAGGGTTTAGGCTTTCCTCACTTGTACACTTCAAACCCAAATGCCTCTCTTGGTGCTTCTGTGACCATTGAAGAAGAAGCAGCTCTCTTGATGTCTACTTCACTTGGAGGACTTCTCAATTTTTTGGGTAAAACTCAATCCTCTCATCTCATCTCTTTGATTTTGTGGTAAAAATTAAAGGGTAGGATTTTCTAAAGTAAACAAGTTTTGGGTGTTCTTAATTTTAAAAGCATTTTTTGTTATTTTGTTCTTGGATGAGAAATTTAGAAAAATAATGAAAATGGGATGCTTGATGCTACCACTTGTTAGATGCCATGCCTAGGGTGTTTTATCTTGAAAGTCTATGAAAAAAGGAGTACTCAAAATTAATTTATCCCACAATATCCTACAGCGATCCTACTATAGCACTGATTTGGATCATTTTGACAATATAGAATTGTATGATCCTATGATCTGGATTGCGATTTTGATAACCATGATGTAAAATGAAAAATTTGAAGGATTAGGTGTTCTATGCCATGTTATTGAAATGTATAATTTTTCTTAACATTTTGATAGGTTCGGCTTTATTTTTAAAGCCATGTACCTTTGAAACTTTATTTTAGATGAATTTTGTAAAGTTTTTGATTTATGCTTAGAGGAGTAAGTTCACATGATTAATATGCTTTGAATGATATTTTAAAGTTTAGTTGTCAAAGATGGGAGATTGGATGTCCAGGAAGTGACATTTTTATTGAAAATAATGAAGTATATGAATTAGAGCTTGTCTATGTGCTCACATGCTTTATAAACCAAACCAAGCCTTAAGTCCTATCAAATGGGGTCAGCTACATGAATCTTTTTATGTGCTCACATGTTTTATAATATTCTAAAATGATTTTGTAAGTGAATGCTTATGTTAGGCTTTATTTTAATGAATATGCAACCTTAGAAAAAAACGGGAGATATATTAAAGTTTATGTTTTGTTTGGGAAACGATGAATTTTTTAATGAAATTTTATAGTTGGAAACACTGTCAACATGTTCTGATGATTGTCAAATAAAATGGAATATGAATTAAGATTAAAATTAACAAGTTTTGAAATTGGAATGAATTCCCTTGACTGTATTCTGGGTCATTGAACCCTAGTGTAATCACGGGCTTCTTTAGTTGGTTTGATTTTTAGGTACTGACTTACCTTCTTTTAGTTCATCTCATCAGGTTTAGAAATCCTGAGTGTGACATAATATAATATAATTAACAATGCAAAAATAGCATATGCTATTAAAAGGACTATTCGTTACAGAAAAGGATAACAAATAGTTTGACCCTCCTGAAATAAAGTTTATTACTGGAATTCTAACCACAAAGATAACTATTGCACATAGTTCTCAGGGTGCTTAGATGGAGAATGATGCTTTGATTTTAAAAAAAAGAAAAAAGAAAAATGAAAATAAGATGACAACCTCCCTAACTAAAATTTCATAAAAATAAACCAAACAATAAATTATATATCATCAATTTTTAAACATGAGACGGCTACAAAACCCAAATTGCATTCACATGTGTCAAATATAACTATTATCATCTCTTGCATTAAAAATGGAAACTTGATTTTTATCAATTCTAAAAAAGGGCAAAACAACTGGAATGGAGAGAATTTCATAGCTGTACACATTTTAGCTGATGTGGCATTTACTTAATAGTAAAACATAAACAAAGGCCATGCTTGTTTGGGCGGACTGGATTAGGTTGGATTAGCATTCCCATGACTAATAGTCCTAAGACTACGAATCCCTTTGGATTAGATATCCTATCCTATGTTTGGATTGAGTTAGGATTATAAGGAGGGACTAATAGTTCAGACTTTGGCTTAGTCCTTCAATTTATATCCCACCCCATCTGTGAGATTGAATAGTCCATTATATATGGGATACCATATCCGGATAGATTGTTAGTCCGTACTTCAATTGTTTGACCAAACATCGGATTAATAATTTTATTAGAATATTAGTCCAATCCCAAACTCATGTCCACCTAAACAAACATGACCAAAGGTTTAAGGGATGAGTCTAATTTTCTTCACAAGCTCAGAGTGTGAGCAATACATATTTTTTGATTGGTGCAAAATAGTGGAATCTTGATGAAAATCAATTCTGAAAATTCTTTTGTTAGTAGTTGGTAGCTAGAGTTAATTAGTTGCAGTCTAGAATGATATGTAACAAGTATTAATAGGTATATAATTTGTTCAGCTATGCAAGCCCAACAGAGGAAAATAACTTGAAGTGAGTACATATTTTTCTTCTTCTTTGTCACAAATAAAAACTCGTTCATACCCACAATTTTCTGTAACAAATTTATGCACAAAACTTCTCTTCCCTAACTGTCCTGAATTCTTGCTGCATCATCGCACTGTGCAGCAACCTAACAGTGGTATCAGAGCATTGAAGGTCCTACAAAACAAAACAGCTAAGGTGATCATCTTAGCAGCAAAAGTCCAAAGAATGGCAGCAAGTTCCAGCATTACAACCTTCAAATATTCACCAGCCGGACCACCGATTTTTGAAGGAGAAAATTACCATTTTTGGAGCACTCAAATGAGAACCTTTTTCATCTCAAAAGATCTGTGGGATTTGGTTGAAAATAGCTACGAAAGCCCTCAAAGCCAAGAAGAATATTCAGCATGGTCAGAGGCAAGGAAGGAGAAGTTGAAAGAACATAAGATGAAAGATGCCAAAGCCTTGTACTACATTCAACAAGCAATCACAATAACAATTGCTCCGAGGATAATGGCTGCAACAAAATCTAAAGAAGCATGGGAGATTTTGAAGAATGAGTTTCAAGGATCGGAGAAGGCGATTGTTGCCAAACGTCAAACTCTTTGGAGAGAATTTGACAATTTGATGATGGAGGAAGGTGAGTCCTTTGAAATTTTCTTTTCAAGAGTTTTTACCGTCATTAATCAATTGAAGGGTTGTGGTGGTATAATACCAGATAAGAGAGCAGTAGAAAAAGTCTTGAGAAGCCTTCCCATTAAATACGATCGTGTGGTGGCTGGCATAAAAGAATCAACAAATTTATCAACTCTTACTTTGCATGAACTAATGGGTTCCCTTCAAGTGGATGAAGAAAGAATGAATAGATTTTCTGATCAGCCCTTTGAGCAAGCTTTTCTTTGTTCCAGCATTACAACCTTCAAATATTCACCAGCCGGACCACCGATTTTTGAAGGAGAAAATTACCATTTTTGGAGCACTCAAATGAGAACCTTTTTCATCTCAAAAGATCTGTGGGATTTGGTTGAAAATAGCTACGAAAGCCCTCAAAGCCAAGAAGAATATTCAGCATGGTCAGAGGCAAGGAAGGAGAAGTTGAAAGAACATAAGATGAAAGATGCCAAAGCCTTGTACTACATTCAACAAGCAATCACAATAACAATTGCTCCGAGGATAATGGCTGCAACAAAATCGAAAGAAGCATGGGAGATTTTGAAGAATGAGTTTCAAGGATGGGAGAAGGCGATTGTTGCCAAACGTCAAACTCTTTGGAGAGAATTTGACAATTTGATGATGGAGGAAGGTGAGTCCATCGAAATTTTCTTTGCAAGAGTTTTTACTGTCATTAATCAATTGAAGGGTTGTGGTGGTATAATACGAGATAAGAGAGCAGTAGAAAAAGTCTTGAGAAGCCTTCCTGTTAAATACGATCGTGTGGTGGCTGGCATAAAAGAATCAACAAATTTATCAACTCTTACTTTACATAAACTAATGGGTTCCCTTCAAGTGGATGAAGAAAGAGTGAACAGATTTTCTGATCAGTTATTGGAGCAATCGTTTCAAACAAAGATGAATATGTCAGAGAAAACGGATGGAGGAAACAAGAGACAAAATCAAGGCAGTCAATTTCAGAGAGGCCAATCCAATCGTGGCCACGGAAGAGGAGGAAAAATGCACACTCAACGGACTGCAAGAGATATATCACAATCTGAATCTTGCTGCAGCAAGAATACTAATCATGGAAGCATGGACTGCTCTTTCAAAAAACTGACAAGATTCAAGAATAATAACCATCTTGAAAAAGATAGTGGGTTTCGTAAAAAGGATGAAGCTAACTTTTCAGAAAAGGGTGAAACTTCAAACCAACAGTGCTATCCCTACATGAACAGTCAACAAGAACCACAAGACACTCTGGATATAGACAGCAGATGCAGCAACCATATGATGGGAAACAAGAGCAGCTTTGTTAGCTTGGATGATGGGAAGTTTCAGAACATTAAAGGAAAGATGCACACTCAACGGACTGCAAGAGATATATCACAATCTGAATCTTGCTGCAAATTTTGCAAGAATACTAATCATGGAAGCATGGACTGCTCTTTCAAAAAACTGACAAAATTCAAGAATAATAACCATCTTGAAAAAGATAGTGGGTTTCGTAAAAAGGATGAAGCTAACTTTTCAGAAAAGGGTGAATCTTCAAACCAACAGTGCTATCCTTACATGAACAGTCAACAAGAACCACAAGACACTCTGGATATAGACAGCAGATGCAGCAACCATATGATGGGAAACAAGAGCAGCTTTGTTAGCTTGGATGATGGGAAGTTTCAGAACATTAAAGGAAAGAGCACCATTGCTGTGAAAACAAAGGGAGGTAACACCAAGCTAATCCATGAGTTCGTTATGTTCATAGTTTAACTCAAAATCTATTAAGTGTGGGCCAATTGATACAAAAAAGGATATTTGGTGAAATTTGATGGAGATGAATGCACTTTACTTGATAAGAAGAATAATAAGAAAATTGCTCAAATAAATATGGTCACCAATAAAGTGGTTACTCTCACAATGCCAGTAAAGGAAAGCTATGCTGAAGACATGGATCAATCCATGACATGGCATTTGAGATAAAGTCTTTTGTCAATTTGTCTACGAAACCAACCCAACCTGCCTATATATATATATGAAAAAATTTCCTTGCACTTGCTCACAAACAATCTCTCCCTAACCTTAATACCATTAATCAGATGATACTCTCCCCTTATTTTAATCACATGTTTTTTTTTTCTTAATTTGATTCTTTTGCATATTAATTTGTAAAGTATGATTTCGACTAACATCATGCATTAATTAATATATTTGTTGTGTTGGGATTTGGAATAAATAATGTATTATTTTTTTTTGTTGAAATTTGAAAAAAGAAAAAGAAAAAAAAGAAGGTTATATGTTCAAACCTAAATTGACCCATGCACGCCCCTACTCAAGAGTCACATAATCATGTAAAGTTTCAAGTGATTTTGACTCTTGGGGCATTGGCACAATGTCGAGGGAGTTTCTTTTCCCACACCCTTTTTTTTTGTCAGTTGACATCATTATTTAGTTCACACACAATTTTGGCTTTTTTTTTTTTTATATTTTATATTTTTATTTTTTCACACCATTTAATCCCCATATTCTTATCTTCAACCTAGCCTAACCCCCACCACCGGTGTAGCCCCCTTACTTGCGCAGCCCCCTCCTTTCCCCGTCGGCCGCTGCCTTCTTTTCATTTATTAGGGGCTACTGAAGCGAGTTGCGGTGGTGGGGAGCTGGCGGAATCATGATTGTGTGGGGTGGCGATGGCAACAACAATGGCTAGGGTTTTGTAGTGGCAAGGGGTGGCGGCTAGTGATGGTGGGTTAGGAGGGAAGGTGTGTATATTTTGTCCTTGATGATAATTTGTTTGTGGGACACAATTGTAAATTAAAAACAAAAAAAAATGGTGTGAACCAAGAAAATGATAGCGTGTAAGCTCCTCAATGTGAGGGACCACAAAATAACTTCTCTAGCAACAGACCTTTTATCAGGGAAGTTTCTTGAAAGGTACAAAGATGTTAGCCATCCAACCATCTTAAACCCACTTGGATGGAGTTAATACAAATTGCTTAGTATGCATAATTAATGCTGGACAATCCAAATCCAAATGCCAATCAAGCCAAGCTTATCAATTTCTTAGTATTTATGATCAATTTACTATTCTATTATGAATTTTTTAATAAAATATTTTGATTTTTGAAACTAATTCGATACTTTATTTTTTAATCAAATTTTAGGAGATCATAGCGCCAACTTTGCGTACTTTTACTAAGGCAAATGCATGTCCAGCCAAACTTATAGAATTTGAAGTTGTTAATATATATCTTAGGATCTTCTTACAATATATTTCATGGTGAACTAATTACATTTTGTTTTGTATGTTTAAAACAGCCATGGAAGCATCAACTTCTTCTGAGGTTAACTTTCAGATTCCAGCCAGTTCCCGCATACCACTTTCTGTTCCATCTGTAGTTGAAGGTGAATCAGCCATCTCAGGGTTTACAAGGTAAGTTAGTACAAAAATATTGGGTTAGGAAGTATTCTTATGTGGGTTTTATTTATTTATGTTTACAACTTATCTATGAAATGCAAAAGAATATTCATAAATGTTCTTTCTCCACTTATTAATCCGCATGTGTCATGCTCTGTATTTCATTTTTATACCAAGTGCAGATAAAGAGGGATGCATTGCTTGAAAATCCTTGTTGTAGCCCTCACTAGCATGAAGCTTATCAATATGCGAGAAAGTGCTAGGGCATTCCTTATAAGTAGGGCTACAAACAAACCAAACAGTTCATGAATAGCTCGAGCTTGGGTTGTTTAAGATGATTTGTGTACTTGGCTTACCTTTCATTGAGGTTAGGCCATGTATATATATTGAAGCAAGATTACAAATTAGGATATAAGAAAATTTCATTGATTGAGGCAAGAAATCTGTGATTGTATAATCACAGATTTTATTCTAACTAATAATATAAATCATAACTAATACGATAAATAAATAATTCTATTCCAACCCTACTCCTCAAGCTGGCTCAAAGATATTAACCAAATCCAGCTTGACAATGGATGACTAAAGCCAAGGAAGCATGGGTGCGGGTACGAGTACGGTACGGGTACGAGTGCAGGTGCGCCAATTCGGCAAAACTCAAAAAAAGTACGATACGGGTACGACTGCGGTACATCGATTTTTTTTTTTTTTATAAATATAATTATGATTAAAGCACTCCTGCTAACCTAGGGGGTAAAACAACACGGTACACAACCTCACTAACCTTCTCTAATACCTCAAATGGTCCAATGTATCTAGAACTCAACTTTCATTCCTTTCTAAACCTGATGACTCCTTTCCATGGTGATACTTTCAAGAATACCATATCCCCCACATGAAACTCTAAATCTCTCCTACGATGATCAGCATAACTTTTTTGTTTACTCTGAGCAGTCAATAATCTCTCTCTAATGGTGATAATTTTCTGTGTAGCATCCTCCACCAAATCAAGTCCCAACATTTGCCTCTCACCAACCTCATACCAACACAAAGGAGACCTACACTTCCTCACATACAAAGCCTCATAAGGAGTTACTCCCAAACTAGAATGATAACTATTATTATACGCAAACTCCATGAGCGGCAAATAATCATCCCAATTACCTCTCCACTCCAAAGCATAAGCCCTCAATATATCCTCAAGGGTTTGAATAGTCAACCTACAAATTAAAATTAAATATCAAAACTAAAAAAAGAACTACTCATTTTCCTATAATTTAAAACCATTAAGCGTTAAAAATAATATTTGTGAAATCTCTCACTTTGACATGTTATGTACTGTGAATTTGTGATCATAATTTATTTTTAAAATCTTTTTTTTTGCTCATCAATTTGCTATTTTTATAAGGTGAGACCAAAGAAATAACAGGAGACCAAAGAAAGATTTAAAGTTAATTGTCAACAGTAAAGGAAAAAAAATTCTCAATTGGGGCAGGTTGTCAATTGCAATTTGCATAATACATAAAATTGCATCATTCCCAATCACTACTAATCAACTAATACAGTATAAATTTTTAATGTTTTGTGCATAAACTTTAAAATTTTGTTATGATTAAAGATTTTATAAAGAAATTCTAGGAGGATCTGAAGCAAAAGCATAATACATAGTCATATACAGAACTACCCTTTATAGGCCTTGTAATTTTTTTTGGTTCAAATTGCTTTTTAAAAACATCAAAATCATTTGTTGATATGCTTATACAATTTATACAGATAGATAGGACAGCAGAGAAACATCAAAATTACTGATCTGCAAGGGCACAAAAAAAAAAAAATAAATAAAAAATTGGTCCTGGCATATCCGAAACGTACCAAAGAAAAAAAAAAGGCCTGGCGTACCCACGCCGTACCCACGCCATACCCATGGCGTAATGAACCAAACGTACCGGACCCTCTTTTGCCGTACTCGGTACGCGTATCGCCGTACCGGTACACGTACCCGCACCCGGTACTCGTATGGCACTATTTTTGGATTACCCGTGCTTCATAGATTAAAGCAAAGAAGGTCCTGCAGACTTAGTGAACATATCTGCAGTTTGCTTTGAAGAAAAACAAAGGATGGAGTAACATAGCCTGTTCGAACTTTCTCCCAATGAAATGAACTTCCACCTATTTAGTTTGCTTGTAAAGAATTGAATTGGAAGCAAGCATGATCGCAGACTTGTTATCACAAAACAATTGGGAAGAGTCTTTCTCCCAAAAGCCCAATTCTGAAAGTATAGATTGAAGTCATAGAAGTTCACAAGTACCCTAAGCCATAACTCGATACTCAGCCCCAGCTGAAGATTTGGAAACAACTACTTGCTTCTTACTTTTCCATTATAAAAGATGATTATCATAGGAAGTACAAAAGGTTGAGCGTCGCCTTTGACCTAGCATAATCAGCATCCGTGAAACAAGAGAGTCTAGTTTGGGTACCAATTGAGAAAAATAATCCCAAACCTGGACAAGTCTTGAGGCATCGCAAAATGTGATAAACTACATCAAGATGAGTAGTACGCCGTGCATGCATAACCTGACTCTCTACACTCACTGCAAATGCCAAGTTTGGTCCCATATTAGTCAAGTATATTAGACCACCCACCAAACGCTGATATATAGCTGGATCAAGAAGTAGATACCTAGATTTAGCTAAGATCTTAACGTTTGTTTCCATAGGAGTAGAGGCAGGTTTACAACCTAGCATGCTAGTGTCTTGAAGAACATCTAGAGTATATTTTCGTTTGGACAAAGATATCCTTCGATGTGACCGTGCAACCTCGATACCCAAAAAATATTTGAGAGGATCCAAATCCTTAATGTCAAATGTTTTTCCCAGCTCCTGTTTCACCCGAGTGATCCCAGAAGCATCATCCCCAGTAAGAATGATATCTTCCACCTCTATAAAGCACGAACACGGGACACAGTGATTTAAAAAAAAATGGGAATGCAGACACGGCAGGGGACACGAAAAATATATATTTTTTAAATATATATTTTCTATATAGATTAATATTATGTTACCAAACAATTAAAATTAAAAAAAACTGACATTAAGTTAATGTGAGTGGGACATGCAATAATGCAATTTTTTAAAGTATATGGATCACTATGCAATTATTTAATTTGAATGGAGTGGGCACACCCAAATGAGACAAAATAATAATAATAATAATAATAATAATAATAATTCCTCTTTTCCCCTTATTATAATAATAATAATTCCTCTTTTTTCCTCTTTTTGTAAGTGGGTTGTACCCCCTTGGTGCCTATTTTCAAAATACGAGAAGATGAGAGAAGAGGAGAGAGATGAGAGGCGAGCCCTAGAAGACGAGAAGACGCAAGCCCTAGAAGACAAGAAGAGAACCCTGGCAGCGAAGAAGAGAGAGCAACATAGCGAGAGAGATGAGAGGTGAGAGAGTAGCACATCGAGAGAGAGAGACAGGAGGCGAGAGAGAAAGAGAGACGAACTTGACCAATAAACTAGCTTCTTCTTTTGACATGTCTGACCGACGAACCAAGTACATAGCTTTTTCTTCTTTTTCTTCTTCACTTCTGTTCTGATTTTGAGATTTAGGTGTCTTCGGCGTGTCCCTTACAAAAAAAATAATGAAATTAAAGGGATACACCAAATGGCGTGTCCCGTACATGTCAGAGGCGTGTCCTGTGTCTAACATCGCCACGACACCTGTTTAGCCGTGCTCGTGCTTCATAGGTCCACATAAACTAATAGAATAGTACAGCAACCATTGGGCTAAAGACGAATAAAACATGTGTGATCAAAATGGCACTGAAGAAAATCCATCGAAAGAACCACAAAACTAAATTGATTGAACTAAGCTCGAGGAAATTGCTTGAGACCATACAGAGACTTGCGTAGGCAACACACCCTTCCCTACAAACTTCCCCTTAGCTTGTAAATCGGGTGGAGGATCCATGTAGATGCTTGCAAGCAAGTCACCATGAAGAAAGGCATTCTTGATATCCAATTGATAGAGAGGCCACGAATGAGCGGTTGCCAAAGAAATCACAAGATTCACAGAGGTTAGTTTGGCAATTAGAGCGAAAGTAGCACCAAAGTCTTGACCAAGTACCTGAGTAAAACCTTTGGCAATAAGATGAGCCTTATTGCGATCCACAGACCCATCTGAAAGACATTTCACATTAAACACCCACTTGCAGCCCATCGTTTTGGCACTTGGAGGTAATGGCACAAGAACCCAAGCAGTGTTGTGAAAAGCGCGCCTAGGCTCGTGCCTAGGCTCAAGGCGTAGCGAAGCGCAGGGAGTGTGCTTGAAGGGGCCCAAGGCGAGGCGCATTGGATGAGTTGCGTGACTTGGATGCGACTTGGACAGGTGCCAAAAGGCGCAAAACGCGAGCCTAAGAGGGCTTTTTTCTTTTCTTCTGGTGTGTGTGTTTCTGATGTTGATCTAACGGTTGTGATTTGTGTTCGGAAGGCTCCAACTACATAGGATTACAACTCATACAATACAACTCAACCCAAATCAGTATACGACTCAAATCCCTTAACTATCAAAGAAATCTGTGTTGTCTCTTCCTCTGGGCTCCTCTCTTGACTTTGACTTTGATTCAGGTCAGTGTTGCTTCTTCTTCCTCTTTTTCTCCTCCTCTTCTTCTTCGGTGGTTTCTTCTGGGTGTTTCAAATAGATTCGATTTTTTTTTTTTTTTGGTTGTCTTTTTTTTTTTCCCTGGTTGCTAGGGGATTTTTTTCCCCTTTTTTTTTCCCCCCCCTCCTTTTAAGGAAACAAATTTTTTTTTTTTTTTTTTTTTTTTTTTTTTTTTTTTTTTTTTTTTTTATATCCCTCATTGTACTTCGTCTCTCTCTCTCTCTCTCTTCTTCTTCTTTGCTCTGTTTTTTTTTTTTTTGCTCTCTATTCTTCTTCTGATTTTTCTTCTTTGTTGGGCTGGCTTTTGTTATGCTTTTTTTTTTATTTTTATTTTTTGCAATTATGCCT